CATTCTAACCACTGCTGAGACAGTCTGTGATAGATGCTCAAAATGCCCCTTGAATGCACAGGTACAAACAGTGGCGCAGTATGGCAGGTGAGATCTGCTCGTCTGGTGAAAAAAGGCTGCAATTTGGATGCCACTCTGTTTTGTTTGCTGTAACTAGGTGGGATGGGCATGTCACAAAGTAGTTACAAAATACCAGTTGTCATCATGTACTGTGCAAAGTAGGGGTAACCATCTCTGTAGCTGAATATGGTCTCCCAATTTTCAATAAACAGGTTGATGCACAAAGGAACTGTTAAGAGTTAGGGGGTGCCTGTAAACTTCCCTATAGGAAGGACCATGGAATCAAGTCATGCAAATTAATAGGGCTAAAATTTCTGTAGCAAGGTCGCAGAAGCACAACAGCTGCTACCAGAGGCAGATCCAGAGGAGATGCACCCCGCTTTTGGACCACATCATGGAACAGTAGCCAGAGATTTTTTTTAAAGTCCCCAAAGCAGGTAAGAATCCCTCCCTCTCCCTTTCCTTCTGTACTCAGTGGCACATCCCTCCCCTCCCCTGCCATTCCTCCCCCACCACAGCTACTGTCCCCACTGTTCCTGGCTGACCCAGGATTGGGGGGGGGGGGGGGGACACTCGGAGAGACACTCTGGAGCTGCTCCACTCCAGCAGGGTTGCATGGTAAGTTGTATGGGTTGGTTCCCACTCTCTGCCCAGTCCTCCCCTGGGTGTGTCCCAATAACCCAGGAGCAGAATCCGAGTAAAAGAAACCCTCCTACCACTGTCACCACTGCTGCTTGTCCCCTAAAATCCTGCATCTGCCTATGGCTGCTACTGTTGTCCATTGCAATGAGCATAAAGTCACTCCTCCTCGTATTAATTGTCCAGTCTCAGCCAAATAAAACCTTCAGTAAAGTCAACAGGAAATCTGAATAAGGACTGCCAGATCAGACCCTAAATGTTGTGAAAAATGACTGCGTGTCTACTTATTACAGGCAACTTGAAACTATTTTTTAAACAAATACAATAGTGAAATAATGTCCTTAAATTAATTTTGAACAAAGCAGGAAAGACATCAATTCCAGTTTCCATTTACTCTCACCAAGCCTCAACAGATGGCATTTGATATATACCTGAAGATGTATCCTATTCATCTTAGTCTTAAAACAATAGAACAACAGAATCTGGTTTTAGCAGTCCAGACTCACACTTCTGATTTGAAGTTATGCATTTTTAAAAAGGAAATGTTAAACTAATTTGTGGTTACTCATAACATATAACACGAAAACTTCATATATCACGTTGCCAGAATACCACAATGTATTGTTCTATGACACTGACAGATCCCAGAATGGTTTATAAAAAAAACTCCTTTGGATAGATAAAGGTGAGACTTAAGCACCTAAATGCCTTTATAAGCCCCTAAATCCAAGATTTAGGTGTCATTAGCATTCAGAACCCCCTGCCTAATCCTGTAGCCACCTAAATGCTATCAGTGACTACATTTCCACCAGTAAAGTTCCTGAGCTGCCTATTTCTGCTGTTGTGTACATGCACCACTGCCTAAGTCAGGGGCGAGCAATTATTTGAGGCAGAGGGCCACTTACTGAGTTTTGGCAAGCCATCGAGGGCTGCATGATATGCAGCCGGGGCAGATAAATATTAATTTTCTTAATTTTGGGGGGGGGTCCACGGGCCAGACAGAACAGCCTGGCAGGCCGCATCCAGCCCCTGGGCTGCATTTTGCTACCCTTGGCCTAAGTCCTTACAGCATTGAATGGCTGTGTGCTTATATATCATGCCTTAATTCAGGGGTGTCAAACATACAGCCCATGGGCTGGATCTGGCCTGCAGAGTCAGTCATCCAGCCCACAGTCTTAATATAGTGGGGACTTCCTGTGACTGTAGCCAAGCACCCCGGGGAGAACTGGGGCACTGGAGCTCCAGAAGTGTTACGGGAAGAATCCCAATGCCACAGCTCGTTTGAATGTTAGCAGACAAGTGCCTGGGATGCTGGGTCACTTCCTGCCAGGTCCTGGACTAGAATGGGGGAGGAGGGGTCTGCGAGCCCAATTCAGCCCATTCATCTGGACCACAGACCGATCCTGCACCACTCACCTGGCCCACAGGGCCAGACAAATTTGACCCCTGCTTTAACCAGCAGGATTCATAAAAAGAAGCACATTTCAGTCCATCTCATTTGCAGTGCCTTGACTGGTAGATGTGCTTATATCATGTCTAAACCCACACATAATAGGAGTGGAGAAGGAGTTGGGGTCCCAGTAGCCCACTGATTAGTGCACTCACCTGTGACATGGGTGATGTGGATACTTCCTTTCTCTGCTTGGGGATACTTAAGCTTCCAGGATAGTGCCTCAACCACTAGGCTATATGACATTTGGAGGTGGGTTCCTGTTAGATCTATCCCACATTGTGTCAAATAATCAACTATATAATGGAGGAAGGCCTGGGACTGGTCCCAGGAGACTGCACTTACTATTGAGTTTCCTTCCATGCCATGCCTCTCGCTCTCTCTTTCTCTGGCTCATTGAATATTTTGTTATTTTCATTCAGAACAGAGCAGCACCAGCAGGAAGGCAATGTGGGTTTAAATCCCTTCTTCTAGCAGGAAGGCAATGTGGGTTTAAATCCCTTCAGGCAGAGGATAAATTTGAACATGGATTTCCCACAAGCCAACTGAACGTTTTAATCACTGGGTTCTAAGGTTACATGGGTTCACCACATCCTTCTCCCATCCTGTTTTGAAATGACCAGCTACCCCTCATTTTTTTCAAAAGAAAGGGCTTAGGTGCCCAGTCTAAGAGAGTTTCATAGTTGTGAATCCTGATAAAGATAGGTGCCTCCATCCAAAGTTAGGTAACTAAGAGTGTGAACAGATTAAACAAGTGTACTAATTGAAACTGAGCTCAGGGGTTTTCCACAGTTCAGCTGAATCTAATCTAATTGATTCATCTGTTCACTCTATCCCATAGTAAGCAGAAGCTAAATTGGAAAAAAAATACCCTCTGTTTCATTCTCAGATAAATCATTGTGGTTTAGCTTACTATGGGATAGGAGCAGACACATGAAACAAAAGATTGATTGCTATGCACCCAAGAAGGATAAATCCCACCTTCACCTCTAAGTGGTATAGGTGTCTGTCCATGCCCTAACTGTGGGTTGAAAGGCACAGATCTCTGCCTGAAATCACAATTAGGAACTTCTCCTGGGACACTGTCTCCTCGCTGGACTGACTTTGAATTTCATTATTAGGCACTTACATTTCCCTTGCATGAATAGGAAGATGAGGTGCCTTATCTATATCTAGGCTCATGAATTCCACCCATCAGCAAGAGACCTAGAAGTCAGTGACTGTAACACTAAAAATGTCAGTGCCTAAGTCTCTATTGAATCTAGCCCTTACTCTTCAGGCTTTAGTATTTTGTTTTAAATAAAGTATTTCTTCACTAACAATAGTTTTATGATGATAACATGGTATAAATTTCATCTTGTAAACTAACAATGGTATGCATGTGAAAAGCAAGGTTTCCTTTGTGCAAATATTTATTTGCTGTTATGGTTACTCTAATTGAAACCTCAGAAAAATGCAGCATTTTTTCCTGATATTTTACAGCTATGACAAAGCTTAAATATTTCAAAGAATTAAGTTAAAGGGGCAGCTCCTCAGCTGTAAATTGTCATAGCTCCATCAAAGTCTAAAGAGTGGTGACAATTTATACCAGTTGTTGAGTTGTCTCAAAGTATGTTGTAAGTGAATCTGGATGTTAATTGTGTTATTTGGGGGCTACCTGTAAATTGGCTGGATTATATTTTCTGGTTTATAATGAAAAGATTTTTAAAAAATTGTTTTCAAGGGATAATATAAAAACATTCCCAATATACTATTCTCCAATACATTTTTTTTCCAACATATGTAATTTTTAAATACAGTTCGTTTGTAATGTCTTTACTGGTCTGTAGCTTGTTGAAAATATAACTTAAAATTCCAAGTAATCTTCATAAAGGTTTGGAAACAAGAAGTATGTGAAATAGATTCACTGTTGGCAAATTTGCCAATGGCAAGCTAAGGAATCACGAAGTAGTGTTGTGCTGTTCAGCTGAGCTTGCTGTTCAACTTTCTGAACTTGCCAGGCAGAATGTATTCAAGACTATACATGTGTGCAGACTCATTTACACTCACAATAGGTTCACTCTTGGGTACAGCAGTGGTGAGAATATCACTCTCGAGGGAAGCTCAGACACACTCAACTGTGCTTTTGGCTGTCTAACGCCCTCAGGGGCTGGTGATTACATGAGAGCAACACCCTCTCCTAAGCATTACTCGGTGAACAGCTTTGCACACATTCTTAGCTCTAGGATTATAATATTTTGTTTTTGTGGGTGGGGGAGAGGAAAGGAGGAGGGGAGGATATACAACTGCAAGAGCTCCCTGCTTTGCATGTTTACATGCCGACAGCTAAGTTGCAGCCAGATTCTCCAAGAGCAAGTGCGTGTCTCTCCACTAATGATTCCTCTGGAACAGGGAGACTCCCTTACACAAGGCTGATTTCAGATTCTGCTCCCTTTCCTAAAGGGGCCACTCACTGCAGACACAAGGGGCTGTGAATAGTTTCCTCCTCTACTGTGCAAGCTGGAAAAGCTGGTTACAGATAGTTGTTGTGAGGTGTGAAATGCCTAGGGCAAGAAAGCCCCAGGAAGGGTGTTGGACTAGATGACCTCTGGAGGTCCCTTTCAGCCCTACTTCCTTATGACTAAATCCTGGCAATCCCTCCCAGCCACAAGGGTCCTCCTGCTCCCCCCACCACACATCACAAGTATTCCACCACTCCCACCCCCTCCCAGACACAGGAGTCCCATACCTCCTGTTGCCCCCTCTCAATCACTGGGTCCCTGTTGCCCAGTGGTACCTTGGGCATGGCACAACTAAAGCCCCCTCCCATCACACCACATTCCTGTGCACCCCGGGTGTGGGGCATACTCACTGCGCAGTAGGACCCTCCCGAAGAGGCTGTGGTCCCGGTCCAGCGTGTTGCAGTTCCAGCGGTGCTGGCGAAACTGGTGCTGGCACTCTGCTGTCCACTCGGCCACACCCTGCCCAATGGAACGCATCACCTCGGGGTGCCGCTGGCACAGCTGCCGCTGGCGGCTCACCAAGCCCGGCACATTGTCGCACATGACCCGTGGCGACCCCACCGCCCCCATGTACCTGCAGGAGGCAAAGAGCATCGTTACTCATTAATTTTGGGCAGCTCCTGCTGGAGCTCTTAACCCCTGGACTGTCTGCACATTAACACCTCTAAGTGATCTAAAGCACTTGTTATACAGCTCAATGTTACGCCACTCCAGGGCAGGATTATGTCTTTCTGTACATAACCCAGCTCCTGTTCCATTAAAGTGTTATTGCTCTCCCTATATGTGCCACTCAAACTGAGGGTGTGGCTGCAAGCTAGCAATAAGCTGATCAACATTTGTGTGGCTCACAGTGTAGGGTGTAACAAGGCCAAAGATGGACAGGCAGCCACTGGTGGTGGGGGCTGGGGTGGCACCATGGGCTGCAGGTGAGGGACGGTGCCTTAAGGGTCAGGGCTCAGCCCCCTCGGGGTATGGGGAGTGTTAACAGGTGGGCAAGAAGGAGATGAGCTACTGAGAAGTGTGTGTGGAAGGGGAGCGGAGGGTACCAACTCTGCCTTGTAGGGGATCTGGGAGGAGGTACCTTACGGGCTGGCAGGGGGAGGGGCTCTGACTGGAAAAGATGAGCTGGGAGCATGGGGGTTGCACTAGCAAGGGAAAGGAGGGCAGTGAGCGGGCCTGGTACACAGGAGCAGGGTCCTCATGCCTAGCCACGTGCCAGAAGCTGCTGCTGCTGCCCTCCTCCTCCCCTCTCCCCCATACAGCTGTTGGCTCTATCTCCCATTGCTCTACCCACATTTACCGTCCTGTCTTCACATCAGGACCCATGTTAAAGTATCCAATGTACAGCTGCATCTCCTGTCTTGGGGTCTAAAATCCTTCTTAAAGCATTTGGTTTGTTGTATTTTATATTATTGCATATTTGGAAGAACCAAAGACCAAAATAGCTTCATGAAGTGCTTAAAAAAATCCTTAACAAAAATTAAATTACATCATCATCTACATCCAGATGTTCTCTATTAGTCCTGAAATGTTTAGCAAGGTACCTCTTATAAAACCCAAACTGCCATAGGTGTCTTTTGAAGCGATCAACCAGGAGAAATATCTTTTTTTCTCATATTTTTGTTATTTTGCACAATCATAAAATTGTTGAAGCTGTAACTTCCAAAAACATATTTAAGTGACAGTTAAGAGACAATGTGACAAAAAGCAGTTACAATAAATAATGTTTATACACCTTGGGAAGCAGAAATAGTCACTTTATTGAAAAACGGTCAGTCTGATAAATCAACCTTTGATCCAGTGTCAAGGTTAAATGCATTCGCTGCTTTCCGGGCTGACAAGGAGAGGTTTAATTCCCGTCCCACACCAATGTCTCTTCTGTTATGTTTTAAGACCCCGTTTGCTGAAGGAAATCTCTAACTCTGTCCTAACCTTTAACTGGTCCTGTGTTTTTCAGCTCGCTTAGGTGGTATCACAACAAGATCGAATATCTTTTGAAGTCAGGGTGGTGATCGATCCCTGAAGGATTTGCCTGGTTTCATTTAGAGTTTTTAGTTCAGCCATGAGAAATGAGGGAGGTTGGAGGTGAAGGACGGAAGAGACAGAGCCGGGGCAGGTTGGGGAGAAAGAGGGAACTGGGAACTCATGTAGACTAGTCGGACAATTCAGCACATGCATTTGAATGAATGTAAGGAGGGTAGTGAACAAGAATCATACAGCCACGGATGCTGGTAGAAGAAGCCTATGCAAGCAGTAAAAACCACATCGTGGTGCTGCTTTGGTTGGTGACTTACCTGAGGGAGCTCCCGACAGCTTCATCTAAAGTGGCTGTTTTATGTACTGAATAAAGCCAATATTCCAGCAAGGATATTTGCCTTGTCAAAGAAGAATCGAGCCCGTCTCTCCACAGATACTAGACGATGCTAAAGCTGGTGGCAGATCTGAACCAACCTTCCTGAATCGGGCCCGGTCTGTTATTTACACAGCTGGGTATCCAAGCTCCTCTGTGAAACTCGCTGCAAATCCTGATCAAAGGATTCCCCCCCTTCAAGGCGCTTAATTGTAAGGGGAGGGAGGGAGAGGAGGAGCCGGCTGGGAAAAGAGATGCTGAGAGAAGAGACGGGAAACGATATCCGACTGCCGGATCCGGGACGGGGTCTAACAACGCACTCAAGGGAGCCTCCCCCAGCTTTCCCCGGGCACCGCGGCACTTACCACCATGAGGAGGTGACCGGCGGGGTGGCCCCGCACAGGAGCAGGGCAACAGCAAGGCAGATCCCAGGGAGACAGTTCATATTAGAGCCCCTTCAGACCCCGGGGCTGTCTGTCCTGCCGGGGCGGCCGGAATCCCATGGAGCAGGAGGGCGGACGCAGCCCCGCGCCTGGGGAGCTCCTTCCTTCCCCCGCA